ATGCATATGACATCATATCCAAATTCCGTTTTCTTTTTAAACAAAACAAAACAAAACAAATCTTTATTTTCAGTGTGCAGGAAACTCTTAAAATTGTAGTAAAAATAAAAATACATGTAACAAAATTTTCATTTTAGCTGGATGTGGTGGCACACACTTGAAATTCTAGCACTTTGGAGGTAGAAGTGTGAGGGACAAGAATTTACGGTCACCCATAGCCATACAGTGTAATCAAGGTTAGTGTAAGTCACAAGAGACCAGGCCTCAAAAGCCATAAACAAGGGCTGGAGAGATAGTTCAGTGTGGTAAGAGCACCCACACCAGATGGCTATTGCTACTTCTAACTCTAGCTCAGGGAATTCAATACCTCTTCTGGCCTTTACAGACACTAGCACTCACAGGCAGTGTCTATACCAAACACACACACATACACATACACAGAGAGAGAGAGAGAGATATACACATAGACACACACAGAGATAATCTTAAAACCCTTTTTATTTTAATCACTTCTAAGTGTATAGTTCAGTTCATTAAGTACATTCTTAACATTAGTTAAATTTATATCAATCTAACAAGAAAGAATATACAACCATCCACATCCAGAACTTCATCATTTTTCTTAAACTGTTTAATAATAACTTTCCATTCTTCCCATTTCCAATCTCTGGCAATCACCATCCCACATTCTGTCTCTCTGAGTGACTTCTCTAGAAACCTCATAGAACAGGAAATGTTCAATCCTTTTACTTTCCGAGATTGATTTATTTCACTTGGTATACGGTCTTCCAAGGTTATCCCCGTTGAAGCATGTCAGAATTTCATGCCTATCTAAGGCTGAATTCTCTTCTACTGTGTGGATGTGTATCACAGTTTATCCGTTCACCTGATGAACACGAGTCCACTGCACCTTGGGTCTGTTGTAGATAATGCTATGGGTACACCCACACAAATCTGCCTGTGTCCCTGCTTTCACTTATATGCATGTACACAGAAGTAGAAACAGTGATTGTAATTCTGAGGAAACACCACACCACTTTTCACAGTTGATACACTATTTACATTTCCACCAACAATGCACAGAGACTGAATTTTCTACTGTCTAACAATCAATATAATTTTATTTCTTTGATAGTGGTCATATTAACAAATATGAAATAGTTATCTAATCACAGCTTGGATATTCATTTCTGTAATGGCTACCTCTGAACATCTTTTCATGAGTCTGATAGCTTTTAATATATCAAAATATGCAAACTTTGAAATTTTCATCTGCAGTCCTCTCCATTGTGTTCACAGAGATACAGACCCCTAGGGGTACTTTAACAGGCTCCCGAATGAACTGCTTATCTTCCCTTCAAGCCTTTCTTCTATAGTCTTTCCCATTCTGATAACTGACAACTCTTACTCAATGCCTATCTATCTCATACCAGCAAATTCTGAGGTCTGCCTTCAGAATTAACTCAGTAATCTCACTGGTCCTGTCATCTCAAATACAATCAGACTGGTCCACAGCACTGGAACCCATTCCTGGGTCCCTACAAGAGTCTTCTCACTGCTTTTACATGGTCCTTCAGCAAGTTGTTTCCAAAAGACTCTTTTAAATTTTTAATTTTTTTATGTGCATGTGTGTGTGCCTGATTGTATGTGTACCACACTCAGGAGGTGCCCTCAGAGGCCACTGGACCACCCTTAAACTGGCGTTCTAGCTGTTGAGACACATGATACAGATGCTGAGAACTGAACCTGAGTCCTCTGCAAGTGTGGGAAAGTGCTCTTAATCACTGAGCCATCACTCTGAGCCAATTCAAAGGTTTTTTAAATAAAACTCATCACCATATCATGAACTGCTTTGCTTAAAATCCTTGGGTCATATTCTACCATTGTTGTCAAAAAAGCTACAGCCAGAAGATCTAACATGTTTCCTCTCAGGCCTCATGCCTATCACCCTTCTCTTGTTCTCCCTGTTGGAGATACACTGACTTCCTGACTGGTCCACCAAGTTCAGACATGTTTCAGCTTCATCATTTTTGTCTTTATTCTTCTCTCTGCCCAGGAAATTCATCCTTTCAACAGTTTCCTAACTTGTTTTTTGATCTCCATTGGTTTTCTCTGTAAATTTCACACCTATATTAAAACCCTTCTGAATTACCACTAAATGGAGACTGCATCTCTTCCCATTCTCTGATCCTATCTTCTTCCCAGCTTCCACCTTCTGTTCCGTGCTGTATGCCATCTGACATACTAGTCACTATTTACTGACTCCCATTTACCAGGACAGAAAGCAAAGGATTTTTATTTTTATTTACTGATATACCTCCTGAACAATGTCTAATACACTGTAGAAACTTGATATGTAATTATTGTTAGTGTTCAAGCTTTAAATCCAAAATACTTTCTGCAAAATACTAAGTCAGCAGGCTAGGGAGAGGTCGTGCATTTTCCTAGAAGTTTGACACGAAGCACACAAACCCAGTTCCCCCAGGCTTTTCTTACCCTGATTCCAGTGCCATTGTCCTGGATCTGAATTAACTTCAGGCCTCCTTCTTTAACAATCACTTGAATATTTGTAGATTTTGCATCTAAACTAGCAATCAGAAAAAAATATTGTCAGTTGCAACTACTTTGATACACATACTATAATAACAAACTCCAGAGTATTTGACATGTTGTCTCTCTGTCTGACAGCTCAATGTGGGTGCTGTATGAACGTATACTACAAAAGCCATTAAGTGCAGAGCCAACACTTCTGTTCCTGTAGGACAGCCCTTTTAGTACAGTTGTTTCTTACTCTTTTCAACCAATTTTACTGTAATAATATTTAAAAATGATGTTTTCCTCTGCACTTACATTTTCAAGAAAACACACTCATGATGAAGCAAAGAAAAACTGCCATGTAGAAATTGAAGAGGCTTAAAGGGTGCCGGTACAGTGGTACACACCTTTAATTCCACCACTGGGGGGGGGGGGGGGGAGACAGAAGCAGACCGGGTTCTGTGAGTTCAAGGCCAGCCTGGTCTACAAGATGAGTTTCAGGACAGTCAGGGCTGCTACAAAGAGAAATCCTGTCACAAAACAAAACAAAACAAAACAAAAAGCAAAAACAAGTAAACAAAAAAAGAGGGTTTAAGGGGTGGGGGTCTAGAGGTAGTTCAGCAGTTATGAGCACGGGCTGCTTTTCCAGAGGACCAGAGTTCAGCTCCCAGCCCCCACATGGTGGCTCAGGACCATCTGCAGAGGACCTGATGTCCTCTTTAGGCCTCTACGGGCACTGCATGCACATGGTGCATAGACATGTACCAGCAAAACACCCATTCACAGAAAATATCTGAGGGGGTAAAGGCACCTGCCACTAATCAAATGACCTGAGTTCAATCCCTAGGACCCACAAAGTTCTCTTCTGACCTCCACAAGTGTGTTGTACATACTATCTCCATCACACAGACAAGGCAGTAAACCAAATTAATTAAGCTAAAAGGGGAAAATAAAAAGGAAGAAGTAAGTTTCTACCACAGAAAACAAATTTGGCCTGGGACTGCATGAAAAGGGGAAGTTGTCCATTTCTCTCATTCTTGGCGCCCCTGTACCAAAAACCTTAAATATTTAAAAAGTCCTTAACTAGAATCCATGCAAAATCTCTGCTTGAATACAAGCTATGCTGTTTTTAAGCTTAGTTTTTGTTTACAGTATTCAGACAGAGTACACTAACTGGCTGCAGGAAGCCTGGGGCCGTTGGATTTGGTACAGCAATAGACAGTTGTATGTAGAATGAGCTATCAGGATAACTTGGGCTGGTTACCGTTTACCTCTTTTCCTTTCTCCCTCTTGTAGTACCATTGCTCTGAATGGTTTGTTTTCAGTGAACTTCTACAAGACTGCCAGTCCTCACTGGAGAAACCTTTTCTCTTTATTGTAACAACGTAAGGGCTTCACTGACATCAACTGATATCAACACAAAGGCTCTGCCAGTCTTTATGGGAGTCCTTTTTGAACCTATTTGATGGTGTGTCTATTTTGAAGTATACGGTTCTGTTCACATTTTTAACTTCTCTCCACAAAGTGATGGACGGGTCTAAGTTTCAGAAGCAACAAATGCTTCTTCCTAGAACACTAAGTGGGGTCATTGATTTGACAGTAGGAGAATCAGAAAAAAAAAAGTCCCATGTCCACTGGCCTGACCTAAAACGCCAATAATTTTGAACAAAACTCAAAAGGAACTGTGCCCTGGATGTGTAGGGATTGAATCAATGATAAACGATCATCAGAGCACGGTGTGCTCTGAGGCTTGTTTCTCCCTCCACCCTAGACATTCACACATCTTCAGTTGCGCATCTTTTGCGAACGTGGTGTGAAGCTAAGCAGCTTCCTTCGGGAAGGTACTATTAAATCCGTATCACGCCTGCTTCCTTTACTTGAGACACAAACGGGTCTCGCGGAAGCAGTGAGGACCCCCGCCAGCCGGAAGCCGGCCAGGCGCGCTCAGGGTCCCCCGTGCCCAGCGCAGCCCCGGATGGCCGACCGCAGCAGGTGGGTCGGCCCGTCCCGTCCCGTGTCGCCTTCGGGGAACTCGGCTCCGTTCCCTCCGTACCAGTTTTCAAGCATCTCTTTGATAGCATTAGCCGGCCGCTGGATAACTTCCCCCGCCGCTATGCGGTTCACTACCGTCTCGTCCAGACGCCGAATAACTCCCGCTACAAACGCCATGTCGGCGCCACGGCTCGCCGTCAGCCAATCACTCCGGCTCCTCACCTTCACGTTCCACCTCCCCCTTCGGCCGACGCCGTCCTGACGGCCTTCTCAGTGACGAGTGATGATTGGGCAGCACGAATGCCAGTCAAGTTGCTTTTCGACACGTCAGTTCCTGGGTCCCTGTCCCGCCCTCAACGGCGGCCGCCCACTGGACTAGAGGGTCACGCGCTTGCGCGGCAAAGTTCACGGTCCGCTCTTCCTATTGGTTCGCTCCCGAGAGCTAAGGGAATACGAAATCTCCAGCCAATAGGAACGGAGGTGCCCTGGCGGAGGCTGGTGCGCCCCGGCTCGGGTGATCTGGCGCAGACCCCAGGGGGTGCTTGGCGCTCGGCGGGCTCCTCCCCGTTTGCTGCGGCCTCGGAGCTCGGCGTGCTCGTGTGGCCTTCCGCAGAATGTGGATGACGCCCAAGAGGATCAGGATGGAAGTCGACGAGGCTCTCGTGTTCCGGCCCGAGTGGACCCAGCGTTACCTGGTGGTGGAGCCTGCGGAGGGCGACGGGGCCCTGTGCCTGGTGTGTCGCCGCCTGGTCGCCTCGACCCGGGAACGCGACGTGAGGCGCCACTACGAGGCAGAACACGAATTCTACGAACGGTTCGTAGGGGACGAGGAGCGCGCGGCCCTGGTAGAGCGGCTGCGACAGGGCGACATGTCCCTGGCGGCCGTGCTCACTCCGGAGGAGAGAGCGACGCGGGCAGGCCTCGGCCTCTGTCGCTTCTTGGCCTTGAAGGGTCGCGGCTGGGGTGAGGGAGACTTCGTACACCAGTGCATGGAGGTGTTGCTGAGAGAGGTGCTGCCCGATCACGTCGGCGTCCTGGAAGGCATTGATTTATCGCCGGAGATCACGCGCCAGAGAATTCTGAGCATTGACAGCAATCTCCGCAGCCAGCTGTTTAACCGAGCCAGGGACTTCAAGGCCTATTCTCTCGCTTTGGATGACCAGGCTTTTGTGGCCTATGAGAACTACCTCCTGGTCTTCATCCGTGGCGTCGGCCGCGACCTGGAGGTTCAGGAAGATCTTCTGACGATTGTCAACCTGACTCATCACTTCAGTGTCGGGGCCCTCATGTCGGCAATTCTGGAGGCCCTGCAGACAGCAGGACTCAGCTTACAGCGAATGGTTGGACTGACCACGACCCACACCCTAAGGATGATCGGCGAGAACTCGGGACTGGTCTCCTACATGAGAGAAAAGGCCGTGAGCCCCAACTGTTGGAACGTTATCCACTATTCGGGATTTCTGCACTTAGAACTGCTGAGTTCTTACGATGTTGATATTAATCAGATCATAAATACCATATCCGAGTGGGTAGTTATGATTAAGACCCGAGGTGTTAGACGACCAGAGTTCCAGCCTTTACTAACTGAATCTGAATCCGAGCACGGCGAAAGGGTTAATGGACGGTGTTTGAACAACTGGCTGAGAAGAGGCAAGACGTTAAAACTAATATTTTCACTAAGAAAAGAAATAGAGGCTTTCTTGGTTTCGGTGGGGGCCACAACAGTCCACTTCTCAGACAAGCAGTGGCTCTGTGATTTTGGCTTCTTGGTAGATATTATGGACTATCTTCGAGAGATCAGTGAAGAACTGCAGATCAGTAAGGTCTTTGCCGCTGCCGCCTTTGAACGAATCTGTACCTTTGAGGGAAAGCTGAGTTCACTTCAGAGACATATGGAGGAAGTCAATCTAGCCGACTTTCCTGCCTTCAGCATAATCGTTGATGAACTTAAACAGCAGTTTAAGGAAGATCAGAAAATATTTGATCCTGACAGGTATCAGATGGTGATCTCCCGCCTACAGAAAGATTTTGAGAGACATTTTAAGGACCTCAGGTTCATTAAAAAGGACTTAGAACTCTTTGCAAACCCGTTTAGCTTTAAGCCTGAATATGCGCCTATTTCAGTGCGAGTAGAGCTGACGAAACTCCAGGCGAACACTGACCTGTGGAATGAATACAGAGTCAAAGACTTGGGACAGTTTTATGCTGGATTGTCTGGTGAAGCATACCCCATTATCAAAGGGGTTGCCTATAAGGTGGCATCCTTGTTTGACAGTAACCAAATCTGTGATAAGGCTTTTTCATATTTAACTCGAAACCAGCACACACTGAGCCAGCCACTGACCGACGAGCATCTCCAAGCACTATTTCGAGTTGCCACGACCGAAATGGATCCTCGTTGGGATGATCTTGTGAGAGAAAGAAATGATTCATAAGCCTTTGTAGTACAACAATTCAACTTGGAAAGGAAAAATTAGTTTGATTTTTCTTTCACGTTTACTAATTTGGATTGTTGCAAAGCACTGAGCTTACTACAAGATGTCCAAATTGATAAACATTGAAATCTTTCTGACACGTTGCCTTTTAAAACCCCATCTCATTTGGCAACGTGAGACTGAAACATAAGAACACACCTTCTAAAATCTTAGCTTGGTGGAGATGTCATTGCCTTTTATGTTTATGTTATAACTGATTTTCAACACGTTTAGTATTGATATTGTAACATGAACTAGAAGTCTGGTTTTAAGATATCCTGGAGATATTTGCCAAAAGTTTCAGCTCTTATTTTGACACAGTGTAAAAAGTGTGATCCTGGTTTGAAATGACCAACTCCTTCAAAGTGTATTTATGTCAGTTTACAGAAACTCATAACAAATTAAGTTTCTGAAAAGGAGCATATACACAGTGGAGGTATTTGTCTAGTTAACAGATTTTAAGATTATTTTTGGAAACATATTTCTGAGCCTGAAGTAAATAGCTGGCAGTTTCAGCCCCCACCTCCACATACCCAGTTCATGGTGACATTACAGATGGAGGAAGTAATCAAATTTGGCTGGAGCAGCAAGAATTATCTTAAAAGATTTTGATGTATGAGGCCTCTTACTATCAGGAATTAAGAATAAACCATTATTGGAGGTTTGCTCCTTTTTATTTCACAACTAGGGGTGATTTTTTTCAGCTCGTCTCTCAAAGGACCATGGTAAGTATGGAATCTTAACCATTGCCAGACAGTAATTCTCTTTTCTACCCTAGACAGAATTTTGGCCCTATCAAAACAGTGGGAGGGGGCTTTTCCACTTCAGGATCAGGAGTTATGAGAGGCTCTAGCTTCTTCGTCTCTTTTGCATGGGTATTAATGTTTTATAGAGAAACTATACTTAAGGGAGACATTTTATTTTGAAATGACAAATTTCAGATTTCGTTAGCTGCTGAAAATGGATTTACTCCACAGCTGTCTTACACATTGTGTAGTTAAGACAGTGCACAAGTAATATGTAAATCTCAAGAAGCAGCCTTATTCACAGTCTGTAACAATTTCTATTCCTAGAGACGTTGGCTTTGTGCTGTAACATTATCAGACGAGTTAACTGTGATTACGTCAACCCTACGGTAAAGCTCAGCATTGTGAGCCTGATGTAAAGGCAGCAGCGATTTGTTAGCATCCTCAAGTGCAGTGTAAGAGCTGTCGTGCTCCTGTCTGTCCTAAGGATTGCAGCACGTTATCCTGTCGCACAGTCCAGGAACCTGACTGCAACCACAAACTTAGAAGGAACTGATGCCTAAGCCACGTGAGCCTAAGAACCAGTCAGTGAGGTCAGTGGTTCTCAGCCAGAGGTGGAACCCTCCTTCCTGAGAGTGCCGGGACGTGTGGGGGGCACCTTTGTGATTATCTGTTTAACTGGAGGGTTCTGCTGGCCTTTAAGCTTAAGATCTCTCCTGTGGTTTTCAGGACAGCCTGATGCCACGAAGAGTCATCCCTCCCAAAGTGCCAGCACCCTCCCCGCCAAGTACACATTATCTTATTTCAAGAGACAGGGAGAATCTCCAGTAGAAGCTGATGGCGTCCTTGATAGGGAAGCCTAATTCCAGCGGTGCAGAGAAGAGAAGCCAGTGTCAGGCTGACCTCTTGCTTAGCCAAGAATAAGCTTAAGTACCTGAAACCGAAGTACTCTGCTGGTAATTTCCCGTAGCTTTGTGTGCTACCTTTTACAGCCAATATTTCAAGTACTTTTATTCTTTGAGAGAACGATCGGAAGTCCTGAAAGCTGCTTCTACTTTCTATTCCTAGTCCTCTAAGTATTAATATCGTGTGCATTCTATCAAGTTCTTGTGTTTGCTTTAAGGTGATAATAAAATTAGTTTGCATTATGTAGCCACTGTGTGAGTTTGGGAGAGATATATATAAGCTAAGAATTTTTTTTTTTAATTGACCCTCAGCAATAGAGAGTTTGCTGTAACTAGTCTTAGGTTTTTTGTTTGTTTATTTAAGGCAGTGGTTCTCAACCTTCCTGATGCTGTGACCCTTTAATACAGTTTATATTTGTGGTGACCCCAACCATAAGATTATTTCATTGCTACTTCATAATGTAAATATCTGCTATGTGACCCAAAGGGGTCATGACCCACAGGTTGAGAACCACTTGTTTAAGGTGTTTTGCCGTTTTCTGTATTAAGGAACTATAGCTGCATGGCAGTCTTTTTTTCTTTCCTTTTTTCCTTTTGGATAGATAGTTGTTACTGGTCCTGTGGTATCAGTGAATATAGTTAAAATAAGTGCCATTTATAGGACAAACAACTGTGTCCTTAGCTGGTCCCATTTCTTTCATTCCCACTGGCTCAATTATTTGCTTGCCCAGTCTCCCATATTGCCAGTCAAATCACCCAAGTTCAGGATCTTTGTCAGTGTTTTTCCTTCCTTGAAACCGTCCTAGATTTGCTGAGACACCAGCCCCCAGGTGTGCTCAGTCGTTGCAGGCATCTCTTACTTAAGTGTATGTGTGAGTATGTCTATCTGTTGCTCGGTTTGCTTGCTTTTAGGCTGCCTAATCTCCCTTGCCTCGTTTTCCTACTCTACCTCCTTAGTTGCTCTCATCTCCTATGACATTTACCAGCTGTATTGCAGATATTTCTAAATTCTTATCCCCTGCAGATTTCCCCCCAAGTCCTACTTACTAGTATCACCGATGCTCTTCTCTCTCCAGGCCTCCCCACACATCTTAGCTCTTTCTCCCAAATCTGCTCTTCCTCTCCTTTTCCCTTTAGCAGGCCTTACAGTCATCAGTCAGTTGCCCTCACCCAAGCCCACTCACACTGCTCCATGGTTCCCCATTGCGGTCAGAAGAGATAGGTGGACACTTGTTCATCTTGCAGCTCACTGGTTTAAGCTCTAGTGGTGCCCTCTAGGCCAGGTGCCCAGCTACACTTGCTAAACACCTTTGTCCTCCCTACTTAGCATTTCTTACTGCGAATTGGTCAGTGCTAGACTGGAACTGGGAAGTCTGACCCATTGATTCATCTCTAATGAATAGTTCAGAGCTGGCATTTGAACAGATGTTTGGGCAAATAAATACTCGTATGGGTTTTCATGACCTTTGAACCCTTCACAGTCTTCATTTGATCTTCATAGACATCCTGCCTGTTCACTGGCTAGTTCTTTGCCATCTGTTGCAGATTAAGAAATGAAGCTCGCCTTATTTGTGACTAGGGACCTTACTGTTGTGTTTCTTGAATTTAGTGCAGTGCTTAGCATGTGATTCAAATATTATGTGACTGTGGTTCAGAATTTACCCTAGGAAATTAATAGTACTGTCAGGATTCAAACCTAGGTGTACTCACAAATCTGCTCTGTATGTAGTGTGAAGTACATCCATAATATAGTCTGTATATATTTTAATTTCCAAAGGAACCTACATATAGAGGAAAGGGTTGGATAACTGTTTAGATTGAACTGAGTGCAGTAATCTAAAACTTATCTTCAGTATTGGAGAAATGCCACCTAAGAGTTAACATCCGTTTTTCCTTTTGTAGGCGTCAACCCTAGGAGAAAATGGCATGCTATTTAGTAGTTACTTTCCTTTACAGATGATTTCTGGCTCTTCTGGAATTTCAAAGTAAGTAAACTTGTTTATGAGAAGGTTGTCTTAGCCATCCTGGCTACTAGATCCTCAGCTCATTAATTTTCTTATGTGTGGAATGCCCACATCGTCTCCCCAAAGAGAAAACCCCCAGATGAGGTCCAGGAAACATGTACTTTTTGATTTGCTGTATTTCCTTGCTTTCTTGTTTCATGCCCCTGTGAAGTTTAAAATCAGTCTTATGTTGGAAAGCCAGACCCTGAGTCTCTTTCATTAAGCCATTTTGCCCAATTTAAGAGATGAGCTAGCATTCTCTTAACTGGACTTCCCAGTTTTAGAAAGTCACATTAATTAATTAATTCACTCTGAGGTCTTGGTAGTAGGTACAATAATTATCCAGAGATTTGATCCTTGTTGAAAAACTAGGTTTTCATCAATCTTTGGGTTCAAGAATTTCTCATTTTTAGTTTGTATTTGAAAAATTGCCTCATTCTACACTGTAAGTACTTTATAATCTATAATTTCTGTCTTGAAACTGACCAAATACTGAGTTCATGTCCTACACATTTTGTCATATGCAGGCAACAGCCACCACAAGATAATTTTTTCTTTTTTAAATAAAGGGTAGATGTCCTGTCTCCCAGTTCATCTGAAGGGAGCACTTTTGCCTCTCCTTAATATAAATTAAGTAATTTATTACTTGTGTAATTATTTTTTCTATCTTCTGGTAGCAATCTTCCCGAATGCCTCCCAACTAATCGCTAAGCAGCATGCTTAATATTTAGTTCTGCATCAGGATGGGTAAGGTTGCCATGAGGTGAATAACTATAAAAGTTAATGCTGCTTGTCTGCAGCAGGTTGTCGAGGGCTTCATGTAGGTGAGGGACTAAAGCCTGCAGGCCAAGTCTGTCCGGGCTCATTCTCTAAGGCAGTGTTACCAGCCATGTCTGTCCTGAACCGTCATGGCTGCGTCCCTCTGCAGTTGCAGATCTGAGAGCTGACCCAGTGTGTGCAGCACAGACTAAAGTATATTATGGAAAAGTTCGCTAATTTCTGCTTAAAATGCCTCTGTCTTGCGACTCAGGATAAAGCAGATTCATTAGGAGCTGACTGCTCGCTTTGGGGAATGAGAAGAGAAAGTTTGACAGATAGCAGAGGCTCCAAAGCCCACAGCCACACCAGAGCTCATGGAGAAGTACAATCCCTCCATATAGCTGGAGGAGAATGAACTATTTGGAAGATAACACTAGTGATTTTTGTGGTTCTAGTCCCCTAGTTACATCATAAATATGTCTTTTTTCATTGAGATCAAAGTTTACAAATCTCCAGTGTCCATCTCAGTGGATTTTCTATTCACCTGTGAATGCACCATCCAGATCCAAGTAGGAAATAGCCTGTCGCCATTGCCCTGTGCCTTTCACAGAGAGTTGCCTGTCAGTCAGTTTTGCCTGTTTGAAATCTATATCAATGTAACTATATACACTCTGTATCTTCTGTTCTCTCTGTGTCTGCAAGAGTAATCCATGTTGTGGGTAATAATAGCTCATTTTTCATTTCTGTGTTCATAGTCCATTTGTTGTACCAGTTTATCCATTCAGTGTTGATGAATATTTGGATTGTTTCCAGTTTGTGGTCATTATTAATAAAATTGCTATTAAAAGCCTTGTGTCTGTCTTTTAGTGAGCATGTGTTACTCTTTCCGGTTGGTGTATTCCCAGCGATAACCTTGCTTCTGTTATTTACTTTATACAGGTTATTTTCCATGAAGCAGAGTGACCCTTACTTTAAAGTCTGTCAGATAATGCCACCTTTCTACTCAGACTTGGAATCACAGAATAAAAGCTGACGTCTGACCGTTCCTACATGATCTTTACCCACACATAACTTCTTGATGTCTCTTCTAACATTTTAACATTTTGTCTTTTATTCCTCTCTCTCTTTCTCCCTCTCTGTCTCTGTCCGTCTGTCTGTGTGTCTTTCTCTTTCTCTCCCTTTCTCTCTCTGCCTCTCTCTGTCTGTCTCTCCTCACTCTGTACTGAGTGCTGTGCTTATCAGTTGGGAAGTAAGCCAAGTGTTTGGTATTTTGAGTAGCTGTTTTGAGACTTTGAGCTTGGTTTTGGTTTTGTTTTCAGGCTGGGGGACTGACTCCAGGGCCTCGAGGACATAAAGCATCTGCTCTACCTCCGACTGCATTCTGCTGGTTTTGACATAAGCTGCAACACTAGTTTGTGATGCATTAAGTATCCCACTGAGCACTAATGCTCAACTTTTAAAAGGTCTTTACATATTAAAACACAGCGCCATCTTAATTTCAGAAATAAGTTCTTGAATTGCAGTTCTCCAGCTTATTATTAGAGTTTGTCAATGTGATGGTGTTCCTGTTGCTAGTTCTTGTCCCGGGGCTTAGTTGGGTCCTGGGCGCAAGGGTAGAGAAGTTAGGAAGGCAGTGGAATGAGGAAGTATTTGTATTAAACCTGAAATAGCACAGCCAAAAGGAGCCTGTAGCAGGATTAATAAAAATCCAGAGACAAATATAGGTTCAATCTGAAGGTCAGAAAAGCGTGCCATTGCCTGAGAGCTGTCCCCTCCCATTTTATATTCCTCTCTAGAGCTGGGATTAAGAGAGTGCACCACTACTGCCTGGTTTCTATGGCAACTGGTGTGACTACTGGAATCAAAGTTGTGTGTCACCACTGCCTGATCTGTAAGGCTGACCAGTGGTGCTGTTATGTTCTTTTTATTTATTAAAAAACAAATGAAATACTAATAAAATAAAATACAAATACTACAGGGACCTCTAAGTGTGCCATTGTTGGTGTGTTACTAGTGGTTATAAAGTAAAAGTTTAGGTACTGAGACTGAAGAAGGCCCAGCAGGTAAGAGCTCCCACTGCTCCTTCAGAGGACTATAGTTTGGTTCCTGGTTCCCAGCACCCAGGTCAGGTGGCTCACATTTACCTGTAACTCCAGCTCCAGGAGATCTGATGCTCTCTTCTGTCCTCCATGGTCATCCTTGGACACATAACGTGTAAATTTTAAAAAAGGATTTTTAAGCTACACATCTTTTTATAACTACAACTGAAGTGTTAGAAACTTGACATGGTTAAAGAATTCAACTTTGACAAGCACCAGGCCATGAAACCATAAGAAAGAAACGTTCTTAAAAGTTTACACTTAGTGTCAACTAATAAGGAGAAAATCAGGACTCTGTTGAAAGGCAAAGTCATAGTTGGTTCAGACTTAGGTCGAATTACCATCAACTGGGAGCTTAAAAAACATTGATTGTAGCTCTGGAAACTTGAAAGTTCAAAATGTTCTCCGGATCCACTGACAATGGTTTCTGCTGGTTGCTGAGCTGCCTTGTGTTATCGTGTAGAGGAGAGCCTTGTCTGTACCAACCACGTTCTCACAGCATACCCCCACTCCTACTATACTGTCACATAGAGGGCTACAGTTTCCGTGTAAGAATTTAGTGTGGTGGGGGCTTGTAAGGTGTTTGCCCTGAAAGTGTAGATACTTAAATTTAAAAAGCCAGGCGGTGGTAGCACACACTTTTAATCCCAGCACTCGAGGCAAAGGCAGGCGGATCTCTCGAGTTTGCGGCCAGTATGGTCTACAGAGTAAGTTCCAGAACAGCCTGGGCCACACAGAAACCCTGTCTCGAAAAACCAAAATAATATAATAATGATAAATATGAAAAGTACCCTTTGTGTGATAAACAATGGTGAGGGTTCTCTTGGGACCCAAGCACTCTGGTGCTCTGTTGTCCCCTCCTCTGAACCTGGCCTGGAAGACTGGTCATCAGTCATCTGACCTTAGCTCACAGAGTACCTCCCAAACACTGTTCTCAGCAGTGTGAAGAGATCTTCAGCCCTCTCAGTTACTGTAGAAGAGGCATACCCTTCCCTGCTTGCTACCAAGAGTTAATTGTTGCAGTTTGAGGGTGAGCATTTGGGGAGCCATCTCTTGGACACCTTTGGAAATGCATTTTTTTCTTTTTTCTTTTTTTTAATGAATCAAGGGACTAGAGGGATAATTTAGGAATTAAGAGGTCTGGAGTTTGCTTCCCACACCCATGTTGGGCAGCTCACAACCTCCTGTAACTATAGCTCCCGAGAATCCAATGTCCTCTGGCCTGTGATGGTACACAAGCACACAAGATTAAAACATATGGGCTGGAGAGATGGCTCAGTGGTTAAGAGCACTGACTGCTCTTCTGGAGGACCTGGGTTCAATTCCCAGCACCCATATGGCAGCTCACAACTGTCTGTAACTCCAGTTCCAGGGGCTCTGACACCTTCACACCAATACACATAAAATGAATATAAATAAGTTATTTTTTAAAAAAGATTAAAACAATGTTTTTATAAGTGAATCAAGTTTATACCAGTTAGAATAGATGCTATTTTTAAAAGATGAGGGCTGGGGAGATGATTAAGGACCCGAGTTCGGATCCCCGGTGTACATGTCGAGCTGGACACGAAGGGGTGGTGTTTATGACATTATGAACACAGATGTATTCACTTCTCATAAGCATGTTTATCACAGACAGGTACAAGCAGGTCACCAATGTGACCTCTTAGCCAGTGTCACAGGGAATGCCATGACATAAGTTTCCTATGACTTGACAACATCACACAGGAGCGAAAGCTAGATTGGAAAGCTTGCCCGGTGAACAGTGTTGCCTTGGTGTTGTTACCTTTGGTATCAGATCTGGTTTCCCTGGCAACCGGGTCCACTTAATGAGTGGCTCCAGGCAGCAGACACGAACTTATCCATAGCAACAGCACAGAAGGAAGTGCTCAGCAAAGAGTATTTCATTTTGTTCTGTGAACACAAATCTCTTGGTGATTTTTTTTTAAAAAAATTATCAGAGTGCTGAAAGAGATTAAGAGGCCTGGGGGCCTTTATTCCTGCCTCTGTGTGCCCTAATAATAACCACTTACAGTATCTTCTTACATTAGCTTTTGTTTTTTGTTTTTTGGTTTTTTTTTTTTTTTTTGGCTTCACATGTATATCTATATTGTGAATTATATTTTAAATTAAAAAATAGGTTTGTCTTTTTAACATTTACTAGGGTTATTTATCGTGCATGGATCTGCACATGTAGGGTCAGAGGACAACTTGTGGAAGTCATTTCTCTCCTTCCATCATGTGGGTGCCAGGGATTAAACTCAAGCTGTTAGTCTCGACAGCGGGCACCTTTAGCCGCTAAGCATCCCGCCAGCCTGCTGCGTTTAGTTTATCAGTGTCCAGTTGCCTGTTCTGATCATTCAGTATCTTAGTATTCATTTCTTCCTCCTTTTTACAGACTCGTTTAGTTACTTTCACAGATTTAGATTTCATTCTGAAATACTTATTTTTTTATTCTATCCATTTTCTTCAGTATGTCTTGGGTTTCCTCATATCCTTGCCTCCTTGATCTCTCCCCCCCACATCTGCTTTTTAGTTTCTGTGAACTCCGGATTTAAAATTTTTGTTGATTTATTTTCGTGGATATGGGTACTTTGCCTGCATGTCAGTCTGGGCACCATGTGTTTCTGGTATTCACAGAAGCCAAAAGAGGGCATCAGATCCCCTGGAACTGTAGCTACACGTGGTTGTGAGCCATCATGTGGGTGCTGAGAATCAAACCTGGGTCCTTGGGAAGAGCAGCCAGTGCCTTTTAATGCTGAGCCATCTCTCCAGCCCTATCTTTTTGTTTTCTAACTATTTTTTTTTTTGAGACAAGCTCTCACAATGTAACTTTGGCTGGCCTAAAACTTGATATGTAGACCAGGCTAGCCTTGAACTCACAACATTCCACCTCCCCTGCCTCCTGAGGACTGGAATTAAAGGTATTCAGCACCACACCTACCTGGCCTTCTCTATTTGTAATGTCGTGGGTCTGGACTGCTCATGGAACAATGTAGAAAATTGAAAAAGGTGGCTTGTGAGATGATCGATGGGTAAGGGTGCTTGCTGCAAGGCTGAAGACCTGACTTCAATCCCTGGTACCCACATAATGGAAGAAGAGAACGGACTTTGACGAATTGTTCTCTGACTTCCCCATGACACATACCTGCCCTCCCACACACACAAAATAAGCAAGCGTAAAAAGTTATCTAAAAAGCTCACAACTACTGGAGAATGGATTCTGTTTTCTCATGTGACCACCACAGCTCAAAACTCAGCCACAAATACTGCCAGGTGTCAGTCTGGTTTCGCTCCCATGGTTAGCAGGACTGGTTCTGCCACCTCTTCTCTACACACACCGTGCACTTGTTTCTTGGCTGACATTTCCGATTATCCCCTTCAGAAAGGACCAATAATAAGGAAGCCCTTTGAATCCATCCTAATAGCCAGCTTGCTAAGTGTAGATTTCTAAGTTCAAAATTATTTTCCCATTGAACTATGAAGTGTGCTGTTGAATTATCTCGGGTTGAGAAATAACCAGGCTAGCTAAAAGGTAAAACAATTATATTTTTATTTATTATAATGGGAAAACTCACGAAACAGGATCAAAAAGTCCAAGCTCAGCTGTGCTGCGAAGGAACCACAGAGAGAGTGCACCTGGGCTGTGTGACATTTTTCTCTGGGTCCCAGAAAACCACACCCTAACTTGGTCCCACCTCTTAAAGATAATTAGTTGACAAAGATTCCTCATCAGTGTGCTCTAATATTTTAC